ATAAATAAAACAAACACAGACAATCACTAAATCTGTAGTCTGCTCAGGAGCCTCTGAACACAGTATCAAACCTGCTCACTGTGACCAGCAGCACATGTTCTGATGTCTTCACTGGTTCCAATGGTCTCACTGGTTCTGGTTTGTGGTGCAGGGTTCCTGCTGGGCCTGGCTCTGCTCATTTCTCTGTCTGGAGGCTTTGTCCAACGCTGCCGTCGACTCATCTGTGCTTCATATCATCCAGGGAGAGAGCTGGTACACACACACACACACACACACACACACCTGCTGTAGCTGCCACCTGAATCATTTAATTTCCACTGTGACATCATCCATGGTTAAATCTGAGCTCCTGCTTGTTGAAGAATGTTTGTATATCCTCACACATTACTGTATATGCCACTATATACTGTATTATGTATATATAGTGTATTTTACATTTTATCTGTGCATCATTAAGAGAATAGTGCCTGGCTAATTCCACAGATCCTCCCTTCTCTCTCTGAGCAGTACCAAGGTCAGTTTATAGATAAAGGACCAACAGAACATTGTGTCTACGCTCACAGAGTTTCATATCTACCTCAGACGCTCCAGACAGAGAAGAAACAACTTCTACTCTGTTGTGTATTTCACCAGAGACAACATGTGAGGACACAATGTGATTTAGTTATATATACTTCAGACTTAACTGTCCAATAGGATGTGAACACCTACATGTTGCATAGAGAGTGACAGAAATCTAGCCATTCATGGATGTGCTGTAAGAATGGGTGGGGGAGACATCTTGAGACTTGGGGGGGGAGTTACTCATGGTTCTCTGTTACGTTTGTATATTGTTCCACCTGCTGGTCTCTTCAGTCTGTCAGTCTGTCAGTCTGTCAGTCTGTCTGTCTGTCTGTCTGTCTGTCTATCAGTCAGTCAGTCAGTCTGTCAGTCTGTCTGTCTGTCTGTCAGTCAGTCAGTCTGTCTGTCTGTCTGTCTGTCTGTCTGTCAGTCAGTCAGTCACATCAGACCTGAACCACATCAGACCTGAACCTACACCAGAACTGATTCATTCAGAGGAAATGGGCTGAACAGTGCCTTGCTCAGAGGCTCCTCAGCAGAAGTACTGCTAAGAGTCTGTAAATAAAAACCTCGGCTGATTGTTGGAGGAGGGGGGTGAAACACGAGTCTAGTGAATTGTGTAATTGTTTTTGTTGTAATTCACACATCAGGAGAGGATACAGTTCCTCCGTAAGCAGATCCTGAGTCAGAGGAGGGCGGAGGGGGAAGCTCTGAGGAGGTCTGCAATCCGAAACCTGGCAGAGGAAGAAGGAGGAGGTGAAGGTGGTGGAGGGAGTCGACTAAAAACCATCCTGCTCAGGTACAAACATGTACACAACCAGACTGAAGTAACATACATCATACATCAGGAGCAACACAAAGATTCAATTTAAATTCACCAACTGAATATAATATATATTATCATTTGATGACGTGACACTATACTGCAGCCAACCACCAGGAGGCAACAGTGATGATCTGGCTCCAGTTTTGGTAGCTGTCACGTTGTCGATCTCCATCTGCACTGTCGTCCCATCCAAAACATTTCTGTCATTTGATGTATCAAAGAATTGCTTCAGTGTGTGTATGTGTCAGGTTACCTGGTGGAGCTCACCTGTCTCATCTACTGGGTCTGTCTTCACCTGTCTCATGTCTGGCCTGTGAAGAGGTGGTGAGGTCCAAGGACAACAATATGGTCGTCTGTCATGTCACACGTTGTACAGGTGAGACAAGAACATGACATCAACATAAACAGATCAAAATGCTCTACAGGAAGAGAAAAGACAGAGATTTAGATA